GTGACATCGTGGAGGGGCAAGGACAGACAGGGGCTGCGATTCAGTCCTCCCTGTGTTGGGGGCCTGGCTTGGAGCTGTCCCCTCCAGGAAGCCCAGTGGGCTGCTGGGCTAGGTGTCCCCAAGAGCCCCAGGCACTGGACCCCTGGGCTCCCCTCTCCAGGGTGAAGCTGTGCTGTCCAGCTGCCCAGGTGGGGAGTGAGGCCCAGAGTGGGCGAGCCAACAGCCTGGGGTCACACAGCAGGCAGCAGGGTGACGGGGAACCAGGCCACTGTCACAGGGCTGGAGGGGAGCCACCGGGGGAGCTTCTGCCCAGGAAAAGGAGTGCGCAGAGGACCAGAGGGGGAACTGGAGAGGACCAGAGGGGGACGTGCCCAGTACTCGGAGCCGCGAGAACCCAGCGGTGGGTCTCCGCCGTCCTCTGCTCCGGTGTCCTCAGGTGCAAAGCTGGGACAGACACGGTCCCCTCAGGAGGAACGGGCCCCGGGCCCCACCTGAAGGCCTCGATGAGCCGCTCCACTTTCTGGGCCTCGCCCTGGACCCGGATGTGGGCCTGGAACTTCCTGAGGGCCTCGTCCAGGTCCATGGCAGAGAAGTCCATCTCGTCCACCACGCAGCTGGAACAAGACGCCCAGGCCGCGTGAGGGTCTCCCCGGGCCCAGGGCCGGCCCTGGGTCAGGGCAGGCTGCGGGCAGGACGTACTGGGAATTTTCCAGAAAGACCGCAGCCCCGGGAGCCTGCGACCCCTGAACTAGGAGAGTGGGCCCAGGGCCACTCTGGACCAGCCTTTCCTGTGTGGCCAGCAGGGGCCACCTGTGCGGGAACTGCCCTGTGTCCCTCAGGCACGGTCAGGGCGCCACTCCCTGGAGACTGGCTCTCACCACAGGGCCCATGGGTGATGGGGTGGGCAGGGGCCAGCTGGTGGGTGGCCGTGTGTGGCCTGATTGGCCGCAGCCCGGCCGCAGTGACCCCCAAACGGGCCAGGGGGGGTCTGCAGCAGGAACCCCGCGGGTGGTGGCATTTCCCATGACCCGTCACCTCCAATGCGGCTGTGGCCGCAGTCACCGCCACCCGGCTGCAGGGCTTTGGGCCACCCAGGACTTGCTGCCTGCTCCCAGGTCCTCCTGCACTGGGGATGGGCGTTAGTGTGGCTGCGTCCCCGTCCTCCGGGCAGCCTGGGCGGTACCCTCGGGGTGGCTGTGGGGGACAGCAGAGGGACAGCAGGGAGCCAGCCGGGCGCTGCTGCCCTCGAGGAGGCCGGGTGGTGGTCGGAGCCTCGCGGCTTCCTGAGGCCACTGCTATTTTCTGGCAGGAGGACAATGGCCGGATTTCCCCTGGCCAGGAGCCAGCCGGGGGGCGGCAGGGACATGGCGGGTGGCGCCCAAGCCCCTCACCAGGGGCCATCTGCTCTTCCTGCACCGCTTCCTCCCTCCTGCTGTCGGAAAGGGGCGAGAGGGACAATGACCGTGGCAGGTGACACTGGAGCTCCCTGGTTGAAGGAGAAGGCAGGGCCAGATGCAGGGGCCACTGAGGACCCCATGGGCCACGGTCCTGCCCCCGGCATGGCTGAGAGGGAATGTGGGGTGCATCTCACAAGAGCTGCAGGCCACGTGGTCGTGTGGGCTTGGGGTGCCCGGCCAGCCCCTCCCTCGAAGCCTCGATGTCTTGGTGTGACACAGAGCAGGCCACCACTCCCAAGGACATGGGGCACACACCAACAGGGACACCGGTCTCTACTGGATGCAGGACACCCAGCCAGAGCTGGGGCCCAGACCTGCAGCTGCAGGCGCCCAGAGGTCCTGACACAGGAGGCCCCGAGAACGTGCGTCACTTGAGGGCGGGGACCCCTCAGGGATAGGTGGACAGTCAGGCCAAGGGTGCAGAAGGGAGTCAGGCAAGGGGTCAGCTTGAGACCCATGGGCAAGACCAGCAGGGCGTGTAGAGGACCAAGGAAGGTAAGTGAGCCCTGAGTCCTCAGATCCGACCGGCCAGGGACCCGAAATATTAAAACAAAAGAAAAACAAAAAACTTTGCTCGTGTTGAGCTGAGCAGTGGCACACGCCTGTCATCCCAGTGGCTTGGGAGGCTGAGGCAGGAGGATTGCAAGGTGGAGGCCAGCCTCAGCCACTTAGTGAGGCCCTGAGCAACTCAGCGAGACCCTGTCTCTAAATAAAATATGAAAGGGCTGGGGACGGGGCTCAGGGGTTAAGCACCCCTGGGTTCAATCCCTGTTACCAAAAAAACCCAACTTTGCCCGCGAGGACCATGGACAGACTTGGGGGCTGTCTGTGCCCCACACCGCAGCCTCACCGCCACCTCAGACCAGGCAGGAGGCCACGCGAACCCCAGGGCACCTGACGTAGGGACTTGAGCACGGGATCCTGCCACCGCAGGCTCGGGAAGCAGCGCCCAGGACACCAGGGGACTCCCATGTGTGTGCGTGTCCCGGGGTGGTGACACGGCAGGGACAGCACATGCCTTTGGCCTGGGTCTGCGTCCCCGCGTCCCTGCGGTCCCCGGCCACTCACTCGAGCACGTCGCGGTTGAATTGCTTCTGCCGGTTGCCCAGGAACTCGCCGATCATCTGGCGGCTGAGACCCTTGCGCTGCAGCAGGAAGTGGGCCACGCCCACGGGGGTGTCGGGGACGAAGCCGCGTTCAATGAGGTACTGCACGCCCTTCTCAGGCTTCCTGGGGACAAGAGCAGGCTCAGCCACTGGAGGGGACGGCCACCTCCTCCCTCCTGCCCCCGCGGGCTCCTGCCTCCCTGCCCACCCATAGAGTCGAGACCTCCCCTCACGGTGGCCAGAGTGACAGCCAGCAGTGAACCAGGCCTGGGGTGGCCCTGGGACACTCCGGGGTGCTGGAGCGTGACCCAAGGTCACGGCCTCACCCGCACACACCCAGAGTCGCCCAGCACAGCCCAGCTCCCTGTACCCTTAGGCCAGGAAACTGCTGCAGGACACCCAAACCCAACTACCCCAACATGTGACAGTGACATCTTCCTGTCCCCATAGCGGCCCTGGGCCTACCCATTCCCTGAATCCCCACTCCTTGGGCTCAGCATTCAAGGCACACGCGGGGCACGACTTCTACCACCGTCAGGAGCCCTGGGCAGTACTCAGGCCGCAGGGACGCCCTGAATAAGCACCATAAGGCGTGGCCCACCCCTGTCATCCCAGCAGCTGGGGAGGCTGAGGCAGGAGGATCGCCAGCTGGGGGCCAGCCTCAGCCACTCAGCGAGGCCCAGTCTCTAAATAAAAACTAGAAAGAGCTGGGGACGGGGCTGCGTGATTCAATGCCCCTGGGTTCAATCCCTGGAACCAAAAAATGAAAACACCAAACCTATCAGCAGCGTCCAGCTGCACGACTCGGGAGGGAAAGAGGCCCGAGAGGCCGACTGCCCAGGGAGGACGGCTCTGGGGCTGGGCCGCGTCTCCCGGTCTCCTCGCCCCTGCAGCCTCTAGAGCCCGAGGGGTGCAGAAGGCCAGGCCCCGTAGGGACGGCAGGAAGTGGGGACGGGGCTTGGGGCCTGGCGGCTGTGGGCAGGGCCTGGGGGTCCAGGTGGGTTCTGGGCACCGCTGGCCCCCCCTCCTCTGGCCCACGGCCTCCCATGGTGGCAGGTCTGGCCTTGGCTAAGGGGCAGCACGGTCACAGGAGACAAGGTGGCGTGAGGCGCTGGAAGGGCCACACATGATCCTGGAGGGCGCATGGGCTGGGGGCTGCCAGGCCCTCTGGGAGCTGAGTGGTGTCCCCGCTGGTTGGGGCCCTTGGGCCAGCCTGGCTCCCTGTCCCCAGATGTGACTCGCTGAGGCCATCACGCAGCTGGTGCCCGCTGGGGACGACCACCTGCGAGCGACTGGTGTGGCCCAGTCCCCACTGGCCCCCGAGGACACCCCTCCCACTATCCACCACCCGAGGGCCCTAGGCGGCCACCCAGGTGGGCGGAGTGCAGGGCTCTGCTGTCCCCTCGGTGGCCACAGAGTCAAAGGCCGCTTCCCTCGCCAGCGGTGTGTGAGGCTCCCAGGGACAGCAGGAAGCCACCTCCTGGCCTCCAGGTGGCCCTGCTGTTGTACCCCAGGATGGCCACACACCTGAAACCCGTCCCCAGGAGGCTTACAGAGAGGGGGCCATGGGGTGACCCTGCCCCCACAGCTGTTCGGGGCCGGGACCGCCTGGTCCCTCCAGGATGCTAACAGGGTGCCCAGCCGGGCCCAGCGTCCTCCCCTCCTGGGGACGTGCCCACATTCCCCTGCAGACCCCTATAGCGTCGGGGACCTGAGCGCCAGTCCCTCTGTCGGGCGGCTCAGGGCACAGTGGGAAAGGGGGAGGGGTCAAGCCATAAGGCTGTGATGAGGCCATGGGGACATGGGCTCTCTGAGTCTGTGCCTGGCACAGGGCAGTGGGGACTGTGCCAGTAACACCCAGCACAGTGGTGGGCTGGGGCCCAGGGCCTGGCGCCGAGGGAGTCCGCGAAGGAACAGGCAGGGGGAGCAGAGAGGCCCCCTCTGAGCAGGGACCAAGGGACAGGCTCAGGATGGCTGGGAACTGTGGGTAGAGGCCCTGGGGGAGGGGGTTGTGGGACTGGCGACCCCGGGAGCTGTCGTGGGGCCTGGGGGAGGGGAGGGCAGGGCCGTGGTGGGCCAGGCCAGAGCAGGTGCCGGCTTCCTCCTGGGGGAGCAGGAGCCCAGCTCTGGGGAGTGAAGGGTCCGTTTCCACATTGAGATGGGGCCTGTGGCTGCTGAGACCCAGGGCCAGACCCCGGCCAGAGCCAAGCTGGTGGCCCCTGTGGCTTCCAGGGGTGGGTGGCCCGTGGAGGAGGGAGGAGAAGGGACTTAGGACCTGGTGACGGCGGAGGGCACATGTTGGCAGGTGGGTGTCTGTGTGCACCCACGCGTGTGAGTGCAGGGGTAGGTGGCCGGGGTGGGCAGGAGGGACCGAGTCACGATCCCAGGCGGCCCCAGGCCAGGGCAGGAAGGACGGATCCCGCCCAACTCGGCAGAAGCAAGGAACCAAAGCCGGGTACCCAGGACCCTGGGGGGATGGCAGGTGACACGGCTGGAGAGGCAGGCCAGGCGCCCTGAACGGCTTCCGGCCGAGGAGAGCAGCCTTAGAGTGTGACCCTGGTGGTGGCAGCCAGTGGCCCAGACACTTCCAGGGCGAATCCCCTGTCCGGGGACCTTGCTGGTGTCCCCTCCCATAGGGAGGCCCCCTGTCCAGTGCAGACCAGGCCCTACAGGGCGATCTCCTCGCCCACCGTCCCTGCATAGCCCTGTGCTCTGTGCCCAAGGGACACGCACCTCACAGGCTCCGCAACGTGTCCCATGGGACCAGCCACGGCTGCCCCCAGTCCCCTGGGCCTCTTCCTGTCACAGAGCCGCACTGTCCCACCCCTGTCCAGGGCGGGAGCGGTGGGCCAGCCCTGCCTACTAGACGGTGAGCGGAGGGCGCATGTGCCACTCCTAGGGACGGCAGTGCGACCCCTGCAGCCTCCCTTCTTACTGGTCACCCGAGCACCCGCTGAGGGCCAGGCATGGTGCCAGGGGACATCCTCATCAGAGTGACACAAAGGAGGGAGGTACAATACAAGCACCCAGGGATGGACGGCAGCGTTGGCGTCTTGGGCATGGCCCCGGGGGCCAAGTCTGGCCGACCAGCTGGGTGACCTAGGGCTAGTTCCTGAACCTCTCTGTGCCTGTGTTCTGGGGCTGGCTCGGTGCACACGTCAGTCACTGGGAAGAGTCAACAAGCTTGTCCACAAAGCACATGTCCCCAGCCCTCAGAGGCGCTCTGGCCACGGGGCCGAGCTAACCTCAGGACGCCCCAGGGACCCGGATGAGGTGTCAACTTTGGATGGGCCGAAGGGACAGACAGGAAGAGGCTCCTTGAGGAGGTGGCCCTGAACGGGAGCAAGAAGAACAGGAAGAAGGTTCCTGGTGGACAGAAGGACCACTGCAAAAGCCTCAGCAGACAGACACTTCCATCAGGGCACAGAGAGGTCAAGGCACTTAGCTCCAGGGCGCCCAGCAAGATGAAAGTGCTGGACTGTGAGCCCCTCCTCCGCCCCGGGAAGCCCCAGAAAATGCCGTCCCTGCCACTCAGAGGCGGCCCTGTCCAGCAGGTTCTGAGCGCCCCACGGCTCTCTCCGCCAGTGTCGCCGTCCCCAGCTGCCAAGTGTCGGGAATGGCCCAGGCCAGCCCCTGCTGTCTGCGCCCGGGTCAGCCCCGTACCTCCCCTGAGGCTGGCAGGGGACGCCTCCCTGACATCTGATACTGACCCAGAGTCCAGTGCCACCAGGAGCCAGGACCGTGCAGCCACCTGCCCCTGAGCCACTCAAGGGCCACTGGGCAAGAGGGAGCCACAGCAGACTCCAGGCAAGAGCAGGCCCTGCACCCGTCCAGGTCTGAGCTGCCCGCGAAGAGCATCCCTACCGGGAGCCCCTGGACTTTCCACCCCACCCCTCCAGCGAGCTGTGTCCCCATGACCCAGTGGCCGTCTTCATCCCTGGCCTCAGGCCTGACAGAGACCACTTCCTGCTGGCCACAGGAAGTGGCCCTGGGAGCCGACCTGGCGCCAGCAGGAGCCTGCAGGGGCAGGGACCCCACTTCCTGCACGGGCTGGGGACCGCTGGTGGCCCTGCTGCCCCGGACAGGGCTGCAGCTGGGGACCAGGGAAGCCCCTTTGGTCAAACTGGTGTGAGCAGGTCCCTGTGCCCTGCGATGCAAAGGCCCCTGACCCAGAGGGAGGCCAAGGGTCCCCCAGGCCACAGGCTGAGCAGGCTACGTGCAGAGACCCCGCATGCCCGGAAGGGCCTTTTGGAGGGACCCAGGTCTTGCAGGGACAGTCACCTCCCTTCTGCCCACCCACCTGCAGGGCTAGCAGCGCCCCTCCCACAGTCCCCACTCTATCCACTCTGATGCCCACACAGGGGACCCAAGTGGGACGATCATCTCCTGACCACAGGTGGCAGGTCCTGCACCCTGGACACCGTCCTCCCCACTGGGGGCTCAACACTGTGACCCCAGGCCCAGGGACAATAGGGTCTGGACATGGTGAGAACCACTGGCCACATGGCCCCCACCCAGAAAGGAGAGACCAACTCCAAAGACCCACTCCCCGTGCTCCCGGGGGCCACTGCGAAGCAGAGGGTGACCGTGGCCTTGGGCCCAGCCCCGGGTCCCCTTGCCCCACCCCGCGGTGGCTGCAGCAGGCGGCAGGGTCCCCAGAGGTGGCGAGCACAGGGACCGAGCACTGGAGGAGGACTGTCCCCAAGCAGGACCCCAGGCTGGAAGGGCCGCGGAGGCCCGTGCGCAGCTCCAAGCTCCACAGGGGCCACCAGGCCAGGATGGGATGAACACAGCCAGCACGTGCCCTGGGTCACAGGAGTGGCCCCGGGGTGGACCTCAGTGCCACTGGCAAGCGGGATGTGACAGGCCGAGGTCCCTGCTGGTCACTGCGGAGCACTGTGCTGACAGCGGCTGCCCTGGGCCTGTTCCCTCGAGTGGGCAATTCTGCTCCTGGTCTCAGTTCAGACCTGTCCCCAGGGGAAGGGCCTGACTCCACTGTGGACGCCATCCCGACACCGTGGCTTTCACAGGTGTGTTCGGGAGCCGGGGACTCAGGTCCCACGGCTGGTCACTGGCAGAGCCGGCCCCCTCCTGGACACGGTCAGGGGTCAGGGCCCGGCTCAAGGCCACAGTGATGCCTGAGTCCCCTCCCCCTTCCTCCTCAAGCTGCTGGCTAGATGTGTGGCCAGGGGCAGGGGCAGGGGCTGGACACCTGGGGACATCTGGACACTGGCCTTGGCAGCCTCCTGGGCTGGTGGGCCCTCCCACCGAGGGTCCCCTCTGCAGGCCCTTAGACCCCGGGCAAGGGTCAGCACCAGCTGCGGCTTCCCCTCCACAGGGGACCTGCCAGCCTGTCCAGACCCTGGCCATGCCCTCGCGAGCTGCCCCCAGGGCCCATGTGCAGAGGGGGCCACCTGGTCTGGAGGTGGGACAGGGCCGGGCTGGGACCAGGGCCCAGTGCGCACCCTCTGCCACCCGGGCACTGCCTGGAGGGGCGAAGGGGTCTGCGCCACCCAAGGCCCGGCCAGCGAGGCCCGCGCACCAGAGGCTCCTCACACAGCGGAAACGCACCCAGTGGATGCTGACCCCTCGGCCTGGGCCAGCCCACTCCAGAGCATCTGCAGGGATGGGACTGTCCACCCACACGTGATGCGGGAGCCTCTTCCAGGTGACCAGTGCCCCTGAGGGACGGATCAACCTTCGTCCTCTTTAACACATGCAGCCACCTACAGGTGGGCCTCCCATCCTCCCCGCCGAGTGCGTAAAGAGGTCAAGTGTCCCCGGTTCACCTCTGAGCTCCAGGCCGGGCCAGCAGCCAGCAGAGCTGGTCAGGCACCTTCCTGAGCTGGTCCTAAGTCCCCAGGGAGAACTAGTAACGAGGAAGACCCCCGTTCAGATCCAGAGCTGGGTGCAGGGCGCACGCCTGTAGATCTGGCAACTTGGAGGCCGAGGCAGGAGGATGGCAAGTTCGAGGCCAGCCTCAGCCACTCAGCAAGATGCTGTCACTACAAGAACTTTTTTTTTAAAAGGGATTGGGGATGTCCTTTGGACACTTCCCATGGGTCCATCCGATGAGATGTGAGCTACCCAGAAAGACAGCAGAGTTAGAGATGGACAGAAAAGATTCAGGTCCTTAAGTACCCATGGGGGACAGGTCTCTGATGTCCCCGGATGGGGCAGTCATGTCATGTCCACATCCACGGCCCCAAGGAGGCCACACATAATGGCATCTGATGACCCCCACCCCAGAGGTGGGGGGGATGGAAATGACTCAACCTGAGGTTTCAGGAGAGGCTGTGGCGGGCCTCCCCTCCTGGCTACTCGGCCCTGCCTCCACTCAGCCTCCCGGAGGCCAGGCTGCCGGTGCCCCCCCCCTCGCCCGCTGTCCCCCAATGGACCCCGCCCGTGGATCTCTGCCCTGCAATCCTGCAATCCTGCTCCGTGCCGTCCCCCAGCCCCGCCTCCGCGCCATCCCCCGGCCCCGTCCCCGCCCCCGCGGGCCTCACTTGTTGAAGAGGTTGAGGCCGATGCGGTAGTGCCTCTTGCGCACCACGTCGTGGCTGAAGGCGGGCGAGTCCCAGCTGTGGCGCGCCTCCTTGTGGTAGGTGGGCTTGCTCAGCGCCTGCTCCCGCAGGCTGTCGCGCGACGACGACTCGGAGCTGCAGTGGATGGTGTCGTTGGAGTTGGACGTGCTGTTGATGCTGTCGTTGTCGCCGTCCGAGTAGTCCGACTCCGACTTGCTCTGCCGGTTGGCCGAGCCATTGATGGCCAGGTGGCCCTCCAAGGGCCGCGGCGGCCGGGTGCGGGGCTCGGGCTCGTCGCGGGTCCCCTTGACGCCGTGCGCGATGCGCTTGGGGCTGCCCTGCGGCCCGACCCGGCCGCGCTCGTAGGCGGCCGCCCTCTGCAGCGAGCCTCGCTCCGAGCGGTCGCTGAGGTCGGCCGAGCTGTCGCTGGGCGGCTCGATGGTCAGCAGGGGCAGGCGCCCGGCGCGCAGCGGCGGCTCGGGTCGCTCCAGGGACGCCGTGCCACCCGCATCCGCGTCCGCGCGCTCCTCGGGCGTCGCCAGCGCCCAATAGTCGGCGGCCGCGCCACCCGCCCGGAGCCGCGAGTCCGACTCCGCGCTGGACGGTCGGTCCCCGGCCTGCGACAGCGGCAGCGGCGGCGACAGCTCCTCCTCGTCGATGTACAGCGTGACGTCGCTGTAGGAGGCTGTCATCTCGTCCAGCTTGTGGGGGTCCAGGCCGTGCAAGGCCGGGGGCGGCTCGCTGTCGCGGGCGCGGGCCACCTCGGCCACGGGCGCCTCCTCGGCGTGCAGGCTGCGACAATTGAGGGCGTCGTCGATGGACTCAGCCAGCGACTTCACCTGCCGGGAAAAGGCGTCCTCCAACTCCGTGATGGCGTCCGCGAAGTCGCCGGCGGGGGCCGCGGGGGGCAGCGCGGCGGGCGGCTCCCCCAGCTCCGCGCACTCGGCGGGCACCAGGGTCCCCAGCGGGGCGCCGTCGTTGGTCACCGAGACCTGCTTGCCCTCGAAGTAGGAGCTGTGCAGCTTCTCGGGACCCTCGAAGGAGAACTGCATCCTCATGTTGGACAGCACGATGCGGCGCGACATGCGGCTCTCGGACATGGAGCTGCGCAGGCGCTCAAAGTTCTTGTTCATCTGGTACTGGCGGAAGGCCGTCTGGATGGTGCGCGCCGCATGGCGGGTCACCAGGCGCCCCCCATACTTGCGCTCCAGCATCTCCACCTGGCGGGAAGCAGAGAGTGAGGCCGCCCTGTCCCCAGCTCACCCACCCCCAGCCCTCGGGTTCCAAGATGGAGCCCAGGGGCGCTTACCCACCGAGCCACCTCCCTGAGCCCCGTCCCCAGCCCTTTTTATATTTTATTTAGAGACAGGGTCTCGTGGAGTTGCTTAGGGTCTTGCTAAGTGGCTGAGGCTGGCCTCCACTTTCGATCCTCCTGCCTCAGCCTCCCCAGCAGCTGTGATGACAGGCGTGCGCCACCACACCAGCCTTCTCCTTATTCTATAGGAATGTGACCTGTGAGGGCCTCACCGTGTCCCCAGACAACTGCTGGGGAGGGCCTGTGGATTCTGGGGTCAAAGGGGAGGCATGGGCGGCCCTGCAGGGCTTCTCAGAGCCTCTCAAGGTGGCGGGAGACCACACTGAGGTTTCCAAATGGCCTGAGTCACAGATGCCGTGGGTCCTGGCACATCTTAGGGTACAGCCTGATCAAACCCCTCTAGAGATGCCGGCAGGGGTGAAGCCAGCCCCCTGGGGGCTGGGGACCCGAGGCAGGTCAGGGCATGTGCCAAACACCCCAGCAAGGCCCAAGCACTGAGGACAGGCACCAGGGTTCAAGGCCAAGTGCCTGGCTGTAACCCTGCCTCTGTCCCCGGGAACCGCGGGGGCTCCCCAGTTTCCCCATCTGGAAAGTGGGACCTGCCTCCTGGGCCTCTGGGAGTCCTGGGTGTCGTGGGTACAAAGCGCTCAGCACACCCCAAGCACGGGGTCCGCAGCTGTGCAGACCCCAGCTGAGTGGCTGAGGCTGGCCTTGAACTCGTGATCCTCCTGCAGCTGAGCCTGTGCTGTGAGCCCTCAGCACCCCCTGCGTAGGCGGGCAAACTGAGGCCCAGAGGGACGGGCCCCCAGCTCCAGCGGCCTGCACCAGAGCTGGGCCAAAAGGCGGGCAGCCCAGCCGTCCTGGGCCGCAGGAGGGGGCAGGGCAGACGACGGGCTCAGGGCCTGGGGATCAGGGCCCGGGGGTGGCAGGGGCAGCAGTTTCTCTCCTGCTCTGAGCTGCTGGACACCACCCAGGGCACCACCTGCTCCCAGGAGCCAGCTGAGCCCCGTCCTGGGGGTTGCCAGTGGACCCCGCGAATCCTGGGGCCACTCAAGGCCCGAGGCCAAGCGTTAAGAAAGCCCTTCCGGTCCCTAAGGCCCAAGGGTCCCTGGCTCCTCCTGCCAGGCCTGGACGGGGTGTCCCAAACACCAGGCGCTCCAGGCCCCTCTCCTGCCAGCCTGGGCAGGCGGTCACCTGCTTCCCCAGCTCTCCTCCCAAGTGCGTGTGTGACAGAAACTTCCAGAAGGTAGACAGTCTCTGCACTGAGTCACCAAGCAGGCCACACTGGGCCAGGCCAGGCCAACCCGCCAGGTCAGTCTGCGTCCTGGAATCTGGGGAAGCAGCCGGCAGCCCAGGGGCCTCACACCACCTCCTGGGCGCTCAGACGGGCAGGGAGGAGTGACCGGCCGCAGGGGACACACGGTGCCAGAGAAGGCCCTGTGGCCAGGGCTGTGGCTCTGGCTCTCACTCACCCGAGGGAAACTTCTGGAACAGTGTCAATAAGGAACCGAGAGGAATGCTCACCCACAAAGCAGAACTGCCACCTCTCAAAGACTCAGGGACATTCCCCGACACCCACCCAGGCTCTGTGCAGGGCCAGAGGCCAGGGGATGCATTCAACCTCCCTGGGGTTCCCCTATTCCTCTGGGGCTCCTCTCACTCCCCCGGGCTCCTCTCACTACTGCGGGTGCCGTGTCCCCTGATGATGACCTCTTGTGGAATGGAGCACCCACTCGCCTCAGGCAGTGCTCATGCCGTCTGCCGATTCCCGTTTTTACCTTGCCTGCTGGGAAGCTCAATGGAGCCTGGACTGCTCTGTGCCTGTCACCTTGTCTCTTGTCTCTGCACCACTTGTTCCCTTTGCAGTCCTCACACACACCAAGCTCAGGTACCTCGGGACTTTTGCAGCTGCTGTCACCTCTTTGGGGAATACCCAGTTCTCACGTCCACCCCCTTATTTGACGCTGCCACCACCCAGAGCTACTCTATTTCTATTCTTTTTTGGGTACTAGGGGTGCTTAACCCCTGAGCCCTGTCCCCAGCCCTTTTTATTTTGAGACAGGGTGTTGCTGAGTTGCTTAGGGTCTTGCTAAGTTGCTGAGGCTGGCCTCTAATTTGCAATCCTCCTGCCTCAGCCTCCAAGTCGCTGGGATGACAGGTGTGCGCCCACCGTGCCCAGCAAGCCACTCTCTTTCCCCCAATTTTAAGGCCCTTTCCAGAACTAAACTGACCCTTTTTGCAGGGCTGTGCCTCACATGCTGGGAGGGCTCTGTGACACCCAGGGTCCCTCCTGCTGCCTTGCTTACCCTGCCCATCATCTTAGCAGGGACAGGGACACTCCTCTGTCCCCCTCAACCCCAAGAGGCTGCCTCTTAGCTGGGCACGGTGGCCCACACCTGTCATCCCAGTGGCTCGGGAGGCTGAGGCAGGAGGATCTCGAGTTCAAAGCCAGCCTCAGCAACAGGGAGGCCCTGTCTCTAAATAAAATGCGAAATAGGGCTGGAAGGGACTTGAAGGCCCCTCTGATGCCGTGGAGGCCACAGGGGGAGGCCAGGCGCACCTGGTCTGCATGTGGTGTCCACTCTCAGGGGCTTGGTCCTGGCCTCTGGGGAAGGAGGATGGCCTTAACCCCACCTACCTGCTTGTCCTGCAGGTCTGAGGACAGCTCATAGCTCTCGGAGAGTGACCGCGAGCGCTTGATGGCGTCCTCCTCGGCCTGCTTGCGCAAGATGGACGTGGAGTGCTGCAGCCGGGGTCTCCGTGGGCGCTGCGGCCCCGCGTGCAGCCCATAGGCGCCGGGCGTGAGCTCGCACTGCTCCGGGCTGAGGCTGGCCCCGGGCACTAGCGGGCCCTGGTGGTAGGCCGAAGGGCTGTCCAGGGACGTGCCGGGCTCACTGCTGGGGGCCTCGCCCTCGACGCTGCAGGGGGAGAGAAGTGTCCTGTGAGCCGGCATCGGGGACCCGGGCGCCACCTGGCCAGGCACCTGCGGCCCGCTCCCCGTCCCACGATGGCGTCCCCACGCGCCTGAGGGACCCCGAGGAGACCCTGAGCAACACCATCCTGTGGATCCCGGCCACCCACGGGCTTCGTGTCCTCAGTCAGACCTGCCCCTCTCCAGCAGCCACCGACGCCACGGAGTGGCTTTGTTTATGTGAGACTTCCCCGGGGACAACGAGCGGTATGGCCCCGGGACTGCTGGCAACTCAGTCTGGCACACAGTAGGTGCTCAGTAAGTACGGTCAGTCCCTCTCTGTCACCACCTGGATTCTATACGCCCCCAGGGCCTTCTCTGAGTGGCTGAGGCTGGCCTCCAACATGCAATCCTCCTGCCTCAGCCTCCCAAGTAGCTGGGATCACAGGCGTGGGCCACGGCACCCGGCCTGAGAGGTCTTCACCAGGCAACTAAGTCAAAACAGGGACATTAGGGTGGACCCTGGTACAATAGGGAGGAGATCAGGACACAGATGGGCAGGGTGGGGGGCCACGTGGAGACACGGGAGGCGCCCTCCACAAGCCCAGGAGATGGGCCTGCCAGAGCCAGCCGGGCCCACGCCCCATCCCCTGGCCTCCAGCCGTGAGATGGCAGTGTCCCCAGCACCTGGCCTGTGGCACTGTCCGGGCCGAGAACTGGGCACCAGGTTCTGTAGACATTTTCCTGAACCCTTAGAAGGAGAATGGCAGGGGCCACCTACGGGGAGAAGACCCTGCCCGAGCCACCAGCACTGAGCGGGCAGTGGGCCAGAGCCCGGGGTGGCCGCCGGGACCTGCTGCCTCTCACGCCCTGTGTCCAGCACACCCCTGACCTCTGCACAGCGGTGGCAGCGCAGGGTCAGCCAGGGGGACAGTGGGTGGGGACAGCGGGTGGGGACAGCCGGGCCCACAGGGTGACTCATCCCGACTCTGGGACTCAACACTTTTCATTCTGTGCAGATGCTGGGCCCCCTGTGGACAGCTTTCTAGCAAGGGACAGGCCAGAAGGAAGACATGGACACACGTCGCCAGTGTGACCTCTTGTCCCCCTGCCAGGTACCCTGTGCCCAGGACATTACTCAACCCAGGGCTGGAAGGGACTTGAAGACCCCTCTGGTCCCTGGGGCAGGGTGGAGGTCTCAGTGGAAGTGGCCCAGGAGGACAGGGGACCCAGGGGCCACCCAGGCGGTGGGAACGCCCTGCATTCAACAGCTGGCCAACTGGTCTACCCGGGCCCCGCCCTGTTCCTGCTGCCCTCGGGGCTGGGGGACTCCACTGCCCACTGTCAGCTCCCGGGAGGGCCTGGCCGAGACCCGGGGTGAGGCCCGGAAGGAGGCCGGCAGAGCTGGTGTAGGGGGAGCCTGGCCCCGGATCCAGGTCCACCCTGAGCCAGGGCCACCAGCCAATCTCAGCTCTCGCTGACTGGCTGACATGGAGGGACAGAGTATCCACTCCAGCCATGGGCTCTGGCCTCCAGGGACATCCCATCTCGTCCCCAGGGGCTCGGGTGTCAGGGCACATGTCGTTTAGGCCTGGCCTGGCCTCTGCCTGGCTGTGACCATGGCCATACCCCGCCTCTGCAGGCCTCAGCTTCCCCTCAAGGACGCCAAGGTGGCTCCCCTTCGAGATCCCCCAACCTCTGAAGAGCCACCGTCCCTTCTCCCCTGCACCCACCACTTCCTCTGGGCCAGTGCATAGGATGGATGGGGCCACCTAACGCTCTGCCTGGTGCCCGGCCACAAAACCGCGTTCCTCTACTGACCGTCTGCAGGAGGGAGCGAACCGCCACTCTTGATCTCAGGCCTTTACTCCTCAGAGGATGGAGGACAAAGCCCAGCCCATGCTGCCTGGCCTCCAGATCCAGCCTCCAGGCCCAGCCTCTAGACCCAGCCTCCAGGCCCAGCCTCTAGACCCAGCCCCCAGTGGGGCCCGCACTCTGTGGCCTGGTCTGTGCAGCCTGTTAGGACATCACAGCACCTGCGTCCCCTGCTGTGTTTCAGTCGGAGGCCAAATCTGTGTCTCTGAGCCCAAGGCTGATGGGAGACACGGCCTTGAACTGGGGGAGACACAGCCAGGCTCCCAGGCAAGAGAGGGGACTCAGTGGTCCTCGAGGCTGAGTGAGCGGCATCGAGGAGACGGACGGGTCTCCTCGGGGTCCCTGAGTGGAGCCTGAAGCCCTTGGAGGCACTGAACTCATGGAAGGGGGCGTGACCCCGAGTGGCCACCAGCAGTCCAGGGCTCAGGACCAAGGCCCAGCCTGGGACTGCGCGGGGCTGGCCTCCCCCAGCCTGGCTGCGTGGCGGGGACACAGCAGGACATCAGCGTGGGTGTCCTCTGCCCTGGAGGGAGGCGTAGGGCCTGGGAAGGGGCCCTTTGGGATACGAGGTGGAAGTACTTAGGGGCTGTGCGGCCCAGAGGTCCTGCTCTATGACACTGGGGACCAGCAGGTTCCAGAATGTTCTAGGGAGAAAGAACCAGGGCTCTCCTTAAGAGCATCCTCTCCAGAAAGGGAGGTTCTGACAGTCACCCCCAGCCTGCCCCTTGACCCCTGGGCAGCATCCCTTTCCTCCTACCCCCTCAGCCAACGCCAAGTGCATTCAGCTGTCACCAAGTCTGCTCAAAAGTCTACACAGAAGCCAGGCACAGTGGGGCACGCGTCATCCCAGCGGCTTGGGAGGCTGGGGCAGGAGGATCACAAGTTGGAGGCCAGCCTCAGCAATTTAGAGAGAAGCACTAAGCAATTCAGTGAGGCCCTGTCTCTAAATAAAATACAAGGTACAGCTGGGAACAGGGCTCAGTGGCCGAGTGTCCCTGAGTTCAATCCCTGGTACCAAAAAAGAAAAAAAAAATCTATGCAGATGGCGTCCCCAGGGGTGGGACACGGTGTCCCCAGGGGTGGGCTTGGCACCCTTCCGAACTGCAGGGAGAACAAAGCAGAAAACTAATCGCAAATGGATCCAAATGTCCCAACATGACAGGGGACACCCAGGGGACCCACACGGCCCCGGGCTCACAGCCGGCAGCCAGCAGGGGAGGAATTCCTCTGTGATCTTGGAGGACCCTGTCTGACGTGGAGGACGTCCGTGCCCCCAGCAGCCACCCGAGTGCGACGCCTGCGTCAGAGATGACCAGAGCTGATGAGCAGAACGGTCAGTGTCGCCTGTCGACAAGCCCGGGCAGTCGAGGGAGGGGTCGCGATTAGCATCTAGTTGGTGGCCCCCGGTCAGGAAGTCACCAGATTTCATTCCCGGAGATTGGGCTGCCACGTGGCTCCTCCTGCCTCCTGATTAGGAGGCCACTCTGCCCGGTTTCTTCCTGGGGGGGAGGGGGACTGTCCAAAATGTCATATAACTGTGACTCTTTCCCTCCCAGGCAGAGGGGCAGATGCCCTAAAGACTCAGAGCTCTAAAATGAGGCTCATGTGCTGGCCACAGCGGCCCACGCCTGTCATTCAGTGGCTTGGGAGGCTGAGGCAGGAGGATCAGAAGTTGGAGGCCAGCCTCAGCAAAAGTGAGGCCCTAAATAACTGTCCCTAAATATAATACAGAACGGGGCTGGGGAGGTGGCCCCGTGGTCGAGGGCCCCTGGGTTCAATCCCCAGTGGGCTTCCTAGCCGAGGGCGGTGGCGCACGCCTTTGATCCCAGCAGTTTGGGAGGCAGAGGCAGGAGGATCGCCGATTGGAGGCCAGCCTCAGCCACTGAGTGAGACCCTAACAAAAAAATCAATAAGGAGGCTGGGGGCTGAAGCCCAGGGGGCTCAACCTCCAGGACCCAGGGAAACCGGCTTAGAAGCCACGCTCACTGGGCGGTCATGCATGTTTGACTCGGGTTCCCGGGACACGGGCCGAGTGGCGTTGGTCCCTGGAGGTGCACTTGGGGAGGGGCACAGAGCTGCCCCCGTCCCTGGCCCCGGCCTCCCACCTCCTGAGCCTCACCGCCCAGGTCAGGCCCCTGCGGAGCTCTGTCCCCAAGCCTGCGCCACCAGATGGCCCTCCACGGCCCGACGAGCGTCCTGCACGGCACCCCAGTGACCATCTGTGACAACACGGGCCACGCACAGCTCGAGCCACGGGCAGGACAGTCCTGGTCCCTGGCGATGCCCGGCAGTTTAGTTTCTGGAACGTTCTCTGGCAGTTGGGCAGCCCCACGTTCTCAGAGGAGGCTCTGGGTGCGGGGCCCTTCCCGGAGATTTCCCCCAAGGACGGACGCCCAGGCGCAGGGAGGTGACCAAGGACGCTTCCCTGTCACAGGCGTGGCTGGACCTGATGCCGTGCACCACTAGGGACCTGGTGGCCCTTCCCACACCAAGGACACGAGGCCAGCGGCGGGGGATGTGTCTGGGTCGCGGGAAGTCAGAGGGGAAGCCACTGCTAGGTGAGCAGCCGGAGAAGCCACCAGAAGCCACACTAGCCACCAGCCCCAGTGTCAGGTCACAGTGGACGGCGGCTGGGTCCCTGAGCCCCAGAAGCTGGCGCACTCATGTCACCTGCTCCCTGCCCCGGCATATGCGCCCCAGGACCAGGGTCCCCTGCAGCACAGCGGGCCAATGGGGGACCGGAGATGGCCACCAAAGCAGCGGGGACCACCACCTGAGGGAGGCAGCCGGGGCGGTCACCATCCACGGTGACCACGGGCTCTCCTTAGCGAAGGACACCACGCCCCATGGTGTCCCCGAGGTGAGGAAGGGGCTCAGGAGTGAGCGTTGCCACCAGGTGTGCAAGCCACAGCTGTCGGGTCCCCACAGGACAGGGGCCAAGGGGACGTCCCCCACCGCCAGTGCCACGGGGCCTCTGTGATCCTGCCCGGTCCCCTGTGCTCCCTGGCCTCTGGGGAGTCGCACGAGGGCCCCCTGGGACCACCGCTGCCCGCTTCCTCTCCCTGTGGCTGTGGGGCAGCAGGGGACAGCAGTGGGGGGCGTGACCAGCCCTGGCCTCCAGCAAAGGCAGCA